TGTGTGTTTGTAGACAAATTACTCTATCTATCGTCTTACGACTTCTCGTGCGTCAATATTCCTGGTGTATCAGTCGCAAGATTATGTATCCTATTATGCTAATGATTATAGGTGCTGGTTGTTTTGTTTGTTCTGAATATAGACTTTTTTAGATCTCGGTGACATATGTCATGGTAGTTGAATAGCTGAGTTGACAAGTTTTTTCTTATCATGATTGTCATTTGATGATAAAGAGCTTTACCGTACAATTTGCTCGAAATTGCGCTCAATCGGTTCCTAAACCCAACCTCCATATATTTTTTGCTTTTTTTTTCCGAAAGCTGACATTTTTCTCCCTTTATTAGTTGTGAATAGGTCTTATGGACGGTCCACCTGGTGTGGATGTGGAGTCAGTACCCGTGGCAACGGGAGCGCCTGTGCCAACTCCTATACCTGCTTCATCCTTGGTTCCAGCTGTAGATACTACTACATCTGAAGAACCGAAACACGATGCAACACAACCGATTGCAGGTTGGTGACTTCTTTCAAAGTCCAGTTTTTTTTTGATTGGTGAATTTCTGCTTTTGTCGATTTTTTGTTGTTTTTGATTATACATTAGTACTTTGGTATTTAACCTGTCTGTCCCGCAGAATTTCATTTTCCAGTTTTCCATATTTTTGGGAGATCGCCATAAGGAACCCATATTGGGACAATTTCGCGCATGAAAATGGCGAAAATGATCTTTTCAAAGCTTTCCATCTCCGCGTTTGGAGGAAATACGCCGGAAGTCTTTCCGTTCCGCCTCCTTTCGGACTCCACCTTCTTTCACGTACTTTCCACTGGAAGCGGACCTGTAAAGCTTTGAAAGACTCATCTTTGCCATTTTTATGCGCGGAAAAGCTTGGGTGTGGGTTCCTCATGGGGAAAAGCTCGGGTGTGGGTTGCTCATGGCGAAAAGATATTAAAAATGTGGGAACTGGGTTAAAGGACTTTGCGTTTGAAGCTTGAATTTTAGACCCTCTTGCTGATTCTGGAGATGAGGATGATGATGACGATGTAGAAGTGACAATTGGTGTCATACCACCGGTCAATGTGCAGTACAGTTTGGTCAGTTTTTCATAACTTTGTAATCTATTCTAAACTTTTGTTCTCAGTATTTTGCCGTCCTCGTCTGTTTTGGATTTTTCGATGAGAAAATAGACAATTCTCATGCTTCTGTATGCTTGTTTTTTTTAGAAAGGTCCACTCGATGCTAATGGAGACGCTATCCCAGCAGGAAAGCTTGATATCGATGCAGTACCTACCATCAATGATAAGCCTATCTATGACATTGATCTGGCGCAAATGGAAGATCGGCCATGGCGGAAACCTGGCGCAGACATCACTGATTATTTCAACTATGGGTTCACAGAGGGTAGGATTGTGTTTACGATCAAGATAGTAAGTTAACATAATCACTCAGACACATGGAACACGTATTGTGAGCGCCAGAAGAAGCTGAGGCAAGAGTATAGTAATCAAGCAGCCGTGAACAAAGCGCTGTTCTCTTCCATAAACTTGTCAAACCCTCTTGGGATGCCACGTAAGTCCATTGGTTAGGAAATTAGTTTTCGTGCATCTATCATTCTTCCTCCTAGCTACAACAACTGGGGGACGACAATTAGTCCCACTCACTGAGGGAACTGTCAAAGTACTCACCGATAATGGAGGCATATTCAAACCGCATTATCACAAGCTTGCGACTGATAATTCTGAGGTAATTTTATAGATATATTTTCCTGTATGGTTCAAATTTGCCTGTTTTCGCAGTCACATAGAGGACAGCCTAGGAGACTGCTTGACCCTAATATATTCTTCATATTGGATGGTTCTTTTTCCACAGAATCATAATCGTTTTGTCCAAGTTTTGTTAGTTGCTAAGGTACACGTACTGCTCGAAGGTCGTTTGCACTCCTCTTGGGTCCTCATTTTCAGTTTGCTTCCAATTTTTTCTACATCTTATTTTCTAAAAAATCAATGGGAGTTTTTGTTTGCAGCCCATTATGAGGACAGTCATAGGCGCACCACCACCAACGTCTGCTCCACCTGGTCCACCCGGCGTGGTATGTCATATTTTCCATGTTTTTTTTTTCAGTAAGCTGTTTTCGCTATAAAAGTGTAAACCCTGTTTTAGACGCCGACTAACGCCACAGCGCCCATTGTCGACTTCAGCAAACCGCCTCCGAATTTACCCCCACCTGCTGCAGCTACACCTGCACCGGCTACTTTACCGCCAGTACATATAATGGGTCTGTTGATTTTCCTTTTGTGTAGCTTTT